TGAAGTGGCTGTCCAGCGCCACGTGGGCGGTGGTTCCAGATCGTCCCCTACATCGACGTCCATACCGTTGATGTTATTGGGGTCGGAGTCAAGCATGTCTCTTAGGTCATCGACAGTGGCTATAAAGTGGGTGGTGGGTGGATTGCGATTTTCTTCGTCTTCCGTATCCCGCACGGACCGGACATAGTTCGGCGAGGAGTCTTCTGACAGAGAGTGAGACCTTAATGAATTTAGCACGTCTCCTAAGGGTGAGTGCTGAAAGATATCTGTGGCGGTGAATTCCATAACCGGAGCCCAGCTGGATTCGATGGGCTCGGATGCGCGCGGTCCGGAACACACGACCGGAGGTGAGTCCGGGGGTCTGGAGATACAGATCCCTTTAGGAGAGGAGTCTGCATTCGGCTCTAAAGCTGATGAGTGTGCGGTCTGCGGGGCGGGGTCCATCCACCCGTCCTCAGAAGGCACGACCTGCTCTGGAACAAAGTCCGGAGCTGTGGCAGGTGCGATGTCCCAAATACTGTCCGACTGCAGACCTAGGTCATGCTCGTCGTGATTGTTCGGCGCTCCTGACACCGGTCCGAATCCATCGAAGATCAAGTCTCCGCGGATGTCGGCAGTGTAGTTTAGGTTTCCAAACCTGACCTGATGGCCGGGGGCGTAACTATCGATCTGCTCCAGATGGTCAAGCGAGTTGGCCCGCAGTGCGAAGCCGCCGAACACGAAGATCTGTTCTGGGGAAAAAGTCTCACCCGGGACATCATGGTTGAAGGTTGGAGAAGCCATCTAGCCTTGTAGTGACGACACAGAGGAACTCTCAGTGAAAGCACCAATGTCGGTGTTAAAACCGGCGGATCTCGGATAGGGGGTCCCGAACTATGCGTCTAAGATTAATGGTAACAGGAGGCTGGGGACACGATGTTTACCCAGGTTCGGGCCCTCTCGATAGAGGTAAAACCCTACTTCTTGCTTGATTGATCTTGATGATATGAGTATTACAAGAGTTGATCTACCACGAGATCAGAGAGGCTAAACCCTAGAAGCTAGCCTATGGTATGATTGTTGTTGTTGCCGTCCTATGGACTAAACCCTCCGGTTTATATAGACACCGGAGGAGGCTAGGGTTACACAGAGTCGGTTTACAGAGGAGGAGATCTATATCCGAATCGCCAAGCTTGCCTTCCACGCCAAGGAGAGTCCCATCCGGACACGGGACGAAGTCTTCTGTCTTGTATCTTCATAGTTCAACAGTCCGGCCAAAGTATATAGTCCGACTGTCCGAATACCCCTTTATCCATGACTCCCTCAGGGGCCACCAGTTTATTTGGCCAACAATAGTGTGAGAAAATTATTCATTCAGCAACCAGAAAAATATGTACTCCCTCCGTTAAGAAATATAAGAGCATCTAAACACTCTTATATTTCTTTACAGAGGGAGTCCCAAGTTAGCAAAGAGGACATTGGTAATTTTTTTGGAAATGTACTTTCACTGATTATAACCTCATATAAAGATAGGACAAAGCGATCCATTGGCATTAAAAATATTTCTAAAGAAAGATGAATACACTACGTACCCTGGGATTCTTACAGAAGTGTGGAAGAGTAGAACAATATGTATCGTTGTAAAAAAGGAGAGGCTCTCCTCCGGGCGTTTCAAGACAAAATCATTTTGTGTACTAACAAAATAGTTTCAGTTAATTTATGAAGTGACGCAGAGTCTATCATGTGTATTTACAACATCGAATTATGTTTAGGTACCAAATATGTTTTCAAGTAGCATGTATATAGAAAAAGATTGTATTTGTCTGTCTATTGACTTAATTGACCTTTCCTGAAATAGAAAAGAAATAATGGCTACCCGCAGACTAAATTGTTGCACAAAATTTTTAGTTTTCATTAAGTATATGACTGAAAAATGATATCTGAGGAAAATATGATATACATAAAAGATAATAGAGTTCATAACGTATATACATGATATCTTCATGATCATCCCATCCATGTAGAGAAAGACATGCCTTGTATAATCTGATATCACAAATAATTAGACGATACCCTTCTTCCATTATATAACATGTATTTGATCATACATCATGGTTCCTTGCTTCAAGATATCTTTCATTATATGGAATGGAAATATATGTGTGCAAGACGATATTTCTGTTTAAAGAAAAAATAACTTAATCTGCTCATGGTGTGTGTCTGCTAAAGTTCGCACAGAGCACATAGATGTCAACTACAATAACAGTTTATGATAATAGGGCAGTTCTTATTTTCAGTTAAAAATAATACACAGAGCACATACCTCGCTTCTGGTCATGGTTATGAACAATAAGAAACTAACCGGTATCTAACCAATCATCTCAGGCTGTTGAAAAGGATGAAAATTTGAGAAAGCCTTTTATTACTAACACAAAACTACCTATGCTCACATACGCAACATGGATAACACCTTGAATATAAAGAATCTTTCAGTAGACATTTTATTATGTGTCCATGCCCCGGACTGTAGTAACCTGGCTTTTTTTTTTTTTTTAGAAAAGGAGGACGACCCCCGGCCTCTGCATCTAGGAGATGCATACGGCCACTTTATTGATTATTCTCGAGAACCATACAAAGTATTACAACAATGTGTCTGAATCCACCATCTTGGCAACATGTGCCGCTACTCCTATCCAATATGATGAGGGGGTGCTAGCTGGGCCACTACCCAAACCACTCACCTAAGCCTAACATCAAAAGCCGGAAGCCGAAACTCATTCGGTAACCCCAGCCGAGCCACATACTGGGTCTGGGGCGCAATCCGGTCAGACGCACTCGTGTGTCGTCGCCGCCATCTTCCACAGGTCCGTCTTCAGATCAAATTGAGGCTTCTACCTTGTCTGGCCACTCTGCCATCGACGTCCCCATGACGCCAGACAGCTTCCTCCTCCTGCACGAGTCCATCTCCGCGCATCAGACGCCGAGTCTCCACAGCACCATGCCGCCGAGATCCGCCATCATCAATGTGAAAAATGAAGCACCGCTCCACCAAAGTCGCCGTCCTCTAGTCCCTCGAGCCCGTGTGCACCTCCAAGAATGACGCCCCCAGGGGGGAAGACGACACCAGAGAGTCGCCGCCATCCGATCTACTGATCTAGGGTTTCCCCCGGAGGTAGCAGAGAGTGGCCTTGAACATCTCCACGACGATGCCTTCAGGAAGGGGACGACGCAGACAACGTCGCCATCGCCGGCCTTGGCAATAGCCATAAGCAGGCTTTCACCCAGATCTGATCGAAGACCTCCATCTCTCGTGCACGGGTCGCCGCCATCCTTGCCGGGATCTGGAAGATCCCGCAAGCCAGAT